CTTTCTTGAAAGCTGTACAGAATTTATAATGCTTTAAGTTGTTACGAAGTTTCAGATTCTTTTTTTTTTTTCCAGCCACCTGACAAATTTAGAGAGTGACAAAATGACATCAGCTTCCCTACCAATCCTACAGCACAATTTAATTGTCAAGTCAAAGACATGAAACAGGAAGAGAATATAATCATTTTATCCAAAGCATGCGATAAACAGACTAACTGCAATATATATATACACACATACACAGAATTTTCATACACTCCCCTCTCAAGAAAATCTTTGAGAGCCAACATTCAAGGTCTCAGCTGAAAAGGTAAACTATATTACATCACCTTATAGTATAGCAGGATTCTGCTAAATAACAAAAGTACACCCTGAACTATGTACAGTAATCAAAAGTAGCTGATATTTCCCACCACTAAAATCTAACAAACTGCTGCAAACCTAACTCAACCGTTCATAAGAATTCGAGTTACAGTAACAGGCCTCTGCAAGTGAATTACAGTAATCTCCGCCTAAACGCACGGTGCTTGGGAGGGCTCCTTAGCGTGGTTTATACGGAGCGTGCGTTTACATGAACCTTTGCAAGGGGAGGAAGGGACGCAGTCATCTCAATTCCTTATTACTCTAGTGATCTCCCTTGGACGAGGGGGTCATTTTGCAGATAATGTGACGACACGTGACTGTTTTGTGAAGGATTCCCCGACAAGGGTTAAAAATACGAAGGCGTTGAATATTGGGGTGGGGGGGGGGGGGGAGAAGACAAACTCAATGTAATGAATATATGCACTATAAACGCCGGGAACAGATAGCCTAAGAGGAAACTGTTGGTGATAGTCATAGAGACTATGGACCAGCCACGTGGCTTTCCAAGCGATCACCCCCGACCGTAAATTCATGCAGAATCGTCCTCGAGAAACATTTTCTCTTGTGATTCATTGAACAAGTCCGTTTTAAGTTCTTCAAGCGCAGCTTATTAGGCTTACTTGGCTAATCTTTAATCCTATAGAGGCCTGTCTAGTGTTTTACGGTATTTACGCATGTTGCGCATCAGGCCTAGATCTAACTAAACATTACACTCAGTCCCTCAAACTCAAACACCAGTCAGAAACCTCTCAAAGACACATTTTCAGTGACCAATCAAAAACATTTCAGTCCCCCCCCCCCTAACCTCACCCCCGCCCCCCAACATAACCGACCAGCCCTAGACCGAGACCTATGCGTCAGTGGAAAGTAGGGTGTGTAAACACTGTCCATCACTCTCTTTATACGGCGTACGGCATGAGGGGCACTCTCACCAAATATCTGGTTTTCTAGTAAATTCTAGGCTTGTCTATGCAGGCTGTGCAGGTTGTCGTGGAAATTTCCCCTTGCCAAGTTTAACTTGTCGCGTGTTTCGCGGATCGGAGCGTGCGTTTAGAGGGAGTGACCGTGCGTTTGCACATCTAAATTATATAGTCAAAACCCCGTCAGATGACGAAAGCGCGCGTTTGAGCGGAGCGTGCTTTTGTATGGCGTGCGTTTAGGCGGAGACTACTGTACTGAAATTGATTTACTTTCCGAAAGAAGGCAGATTTCCATGACATATCACACTAATACTAAAGAGAAAATACTGACAAATTTATAAAGTTTACACAATTAGAAAACATCTCATAATAGAAGGTAAAAACCTACAAAGAAGGCCTAACAGTGCAGCACAATCATGGCTTTTCGCAAAAGAAACAACTCGTTGATTTTTTTTGGTGTGTAATCTTACATGTATGACAGAATGAGTATGAGAATTTTCTTAACACAGTTACACCCTCCGCCCCCATAAATATGCAGTACCAGTCAGGTCAGGACGTACATTAAAATATTTCCTCATTATTTAAACATTAGCAGTGCAACAATAATACAATACCAGTTTGACAAGCTGCAAAACCAAAATGTTTTGCAATTGATTACAGGACATAATTTTATTTTGATATTTGCAAAGTTTCCAAAGCAAAAACACAAAGTAATAGCTGCTGAAGGTGAACGAAAATAGTAAAGGTCTAGTTGAGGTCTCCATTCAAAACTGACCGAACCTACCTCACACATCCGGTGTCTCTACTCTCTGTGAGGCCAACATGTGGATAGCCATGACAATATGCATGACAGATATTAATCTATTTTAAAAAAGGGATGCTTCAACAAAACTTCTACCCAGAAAACATCAACAAGAGACCACAAGCGATTTGTCATTTGGAGCTATAACCTTTTTAATTGTTTCATGGACTTTCAAAACTGGTCAAAAAGACTGTGTTTTGTGGAGATACTGAAGTAAAATTTAAAAAAACAACAACAACCCAACAACATAAACAACATGGAGATACAAATCATGCAGCTTCAGCTCAGCATATTCAAAGCATGATTTCATCTGTATAGGAAACACACACACATTCATACTTTACATGAGGCAGGATGGGGCATGATTATTAATAGCATCCAGTAAGATGTCACTCTCAATATCAATACCAAACTGTGAAAGGGTTTAATGGTCTTAAATAACAGGCATTTACAAAATCTTTTTATACAAACACTTCTAAGAAAAACAAAGGCAGCAAATCTTTTTAATTCAAACAAGTTAAGTTTTGCAAAACCAAGTAGTCAAGCTCAACTACTCTCCCACCATATTTCAAACAAAATTCTTATAAAGTGAGAGCTGCACTTAAATCTATGATATTTTCCTACCTGATTTTATCAAGTGAGCACATAGTACTTACAATCAGCCACTCTACACCTGCCATATAGGTGCATTGCTAACAGTCAGTCCAGACTGCAAGTTTCTCTGAAGCACATGCTGTTCTCTCTGACATCAATACATAAATCTCATCAAAATATTTTTAAAAATACAAAAAATTCAACAGACTTGACCTAATAACAACTTAAAAGAAATATTCACCAATCTACACTAGATTTCAACACTTCCTAAGACTTTGAATGCAGATTTGTCAAATTTCTTCTTTTTTTTGAACAAGCACAGAGAAAAAGCCATCAACTGACAGGCCTACAGAACACTTGAAAACTAAAAAACGTGTACTGATGATTTTGTCTAAGCTGTGCTTTTCAGCGGGGGGGGGGGGGGGGGGGGCGGGGGCGGGGGGAAGGGTACAGATTTTATAGACAATTACTGCAGTGCGCACACTGACTAGTCCAGAAAGACAATTCAGAACAAGCATGGGTCCTGCTCTAGACAAGAAAAGAAATGGTCACATCCATGAGCTTGGCATCTGGCAAACAAGGTCAGTTCATACAGGTTGGTAATTATGTACAATCTCCATGAAATCCAACAGGGTATATATTACATGCATAAAGGAAGAACATTCATAGAGGCAAATCAGGAATGTATCTATTGTATCATTTGACACAGGTAGACAGTACAACATCTATCAATCTACAATGATATGACTGAACTTCTTGCAAGTAATGGTTTTATGTTTTTTTTGTAACACAAGCAATATAATGCACTACAATGAAATCCTAATGATAAGCTAATGATATAAATATAAAACTAAAAAAACCCCAAAACAATGCTTTAAATTTAAAGCAATAATTAGCTCTGTTTAAATACTTCACGAGAAGCGGACAGAGTTCTCTGTACAAAAACTCACTCTCTTCCACAAGCCACATGTTACACTACATTTCTGTCCTGCTGAAACCTTGAGCAGTGATATTTATGCATCACAAGCACTTTGCCTTTTGTTGAAAAAGCTCTTAGAGAGCTAAGATAAAGGCACTATTCTTCCTTGGAAAGCAAAGTCCAACAATTCCTCATTTCTGACTTTAAAAAAACAAACCACACACTGTCAGTTCTAAGTGAAAAGTATACTAGTTTGGAACGTGTTGTTTTCTTTCTCACACTTTTGTCCACCTTGTTCTTAAGTTTCAGCTATTTTCCAATTTCATACACAGACTCATATTTATGAAAAAAAAAATGCTACCTGAAGATAAAAAAGAAGGAAAAAATAAAAGAACATTATATATATACACACCAACACTGCTCACCCAATACTGAAACCAAAAGAAAAATATTTAAATTAAATGTCTTCTCTATAGAAAACTTAACTGAAGATAACAAGTACAAGACAAGAGAAATTTGATTAACAGTAACAATTTTGGGCATTTGCAGTGTTTAGCAAACTATCACTTCTAGTAGATCCTGCAGATGAATAATAACAACAACAAAAATCACAGAAATTAAAAACAAAAAACGAAGACATTTTCAAGAGAGGCTGAGATTTTTAAAAACATAACAAAAAGATGGCACTCTACTAGACCTTAATGAACAAAGGTGTGTTATAAAAAATACGAGTCAACATCTTTCCTAGTTATGCACCACATGAGAGTCAAGTCTGCTGAATGTGACGTTAGCGGTTAAAAACAGTAACAGATCAGAAATCAAGTGGTGGATGGTTGACATCATATCTCCTAACACAAAACTGAGTGTGTGCACATATTCATGATGAGTGCTTGCAAAAGTCGCTCCTACATGACCTACAGCCATCATATAAGCTTCCATTTTTCATAAAATGAGTGTGAAAAACTTATTCATCCTCCTGTGAAAAAACAGGAAAAATTATGATTAAGAAAATCAAGATTTGTACAAAATATTCTGTGTCAAAAAAAAAAGTTTTTGAATGACGGAAAAGAATGCCATGTAGAACCAACTGAACTTCAATTCATGACACGCGAACAATTTCAGTACAATAATTTTTTTTTTTTAAAGCAAAGTGAAGTAAATTAGCAACTGATGAACATATAATCCATAATTCGATTTGCTAGTGATTTTGACAACTCATAACATGCCTCTCAAGAACTTGCTGCCTGAGGGAGAAAAAAAAACTTTTCATAAAAGGAGAACTGAACAGTCTAAAAGTTGTGCTATTTAATGAAATGGAACTGCAACCAGTTTAAAATGAGTTTTATTAATCTTATCCACTGCATACACTCAAGTGCAAGAGAACAGTCTGTCTTATATTATATTTTTTTTTAATCTGTATTTTTTCTTGAGAAAACAGCAACTCCGACAGGACATGAACCTTGTCTGCAGCTGATTGGGTTTTAGAAAAAAACAACCCCATTGCAACACCCACCCTCCATTTTGTGCTAATGATAATAATCAGCAATACAGAAACATGGCACTCTATTTTCAAGAAAACAACTGAACTTTTTTAAAGACGAAAAACGAAATTGACTTGCAACATATCTAGTCTGATATTAATTTTTCTGTTACAACTGCAAGAATCTGAGACACACAAGTGAAAGAATGATTAGCTGTGAAAGGCATCTAAGAGTTCAGATCTGTTCTCTCAGGTTCTATACTACATGAGATGTCTGGTCCAGATACAAATCTAGCAATTGAATAATGATATTTTAAAAAATTAGACAAGACAGGGAGCAAAAGAACAGTCATCATAAAACATATTCTTGTAGGCATCTGGTAACCTGAGCAATCTGCAAGCATGTCTTTATGTCTAGAACAGCCTCTCAATTGACAACACTCAGCAACAATACTATGCAACCCCATTTATATATAATGTATAAACCTTCTCTTTCTCACCTTAAGTGTGAAAAATGCATTACACAATCAGACAATCAAGTGTGGGATGCAGACAAAATGAGAAAGCCCCAAAAAGCACTTTCTTTACACAACACATACAGATAGTCCCAAATAAATTTTTTATTTCATATTTTCTCATTGAGACCACAAAAATAAAAATCATTATTTATTATTAAACTCCTATACAATCTAGATCTAGATTTACTTTGAAATTCTGGAGAAAAAAAAAAGAATGTTTCATTTTCTTTTTGATTTATCTAAAAATAAAGTTAAATTGAAGCTTACATTTTCCAGAGGATTCTTTTTCCCCAATCTAATCAGCTGGGTTTGACTAATAAAATATCATAAGTCGAAACCAAAAACAAAAAAAAATCCAATTTGAGCTTCCATATCTATTCAATAAAAAATCTCAAATAATGGAGGGCTCAGAATCCTTCTAATATTAGACCTATTCCACATTTCATTGCAAATGTGTTGTTTATATGTCTAATTTTTGTTTTGTTTATTGAATTTTCTCATCTCAATTCCTAATTCAATGATGATCAAACTCCTTAGATCAACTGCAAATAGCTATTTTTGAAAAACCCAAATTCTTCAGTCCTTGGTATTTTCTGAATAATCTTAACATATATTATAGATACAAAATTGTTTACATGTGTTACGAACGGCAAGACTCGGTTTGGTAGTAAAATAATTAATTCTCACACCATAAAATCATTTTGGAAATAAAATCTCACAGCACATGCTTTATAAATATTTGTTTCTTCTAACAAAAATAAAAAAATAAATTATAGTATACGTAAGACTCCAAGACCTGTCCATCCTCTGTAGCATGTCCCTTTCCAGGTTGCCCTGCGTAGCGTGTGCTTTTCCTATTTTGTGCCAAGGATTAAATCAATAAAATTTAAAACTATTCTTCAGGTGTGAAATGTAAACTCTGAAGGGAACTAGTGGGCAAGGAGTGTGGAAAATGCGCGTGCACAATACGAAAAGGACCCGCTGCTGAGAGCAACCCAGAAATAGACACTCTACGAAGAACCAACATGCTACAGAGTCCTACATAATATATGCAAAAACAAACGGTCTTAACAATTAAATGAAAAGAACAATAGAGACACCTGACAATGCTTTCACATGCATCAGTGATCAACCCTAATTCTATCACCTCTTGCTCCTCCTCTATGCATAAGGCACAGAGTCCAGTAGAAACTTTCCCAAAGGTGTAAATATTGTGAAGTATTTTAAAAAATTGCGATCCTAATGGATGTGTTGACATTACTCCCGATGGTGACTCCAAACACATTACAAATAAAAAAAGAAAAAAGAAAAAAAAAACCACACACCCCTAACAAATGATCAGTACTACTGTAAACTCACACCAAAAAGTTGTGACACTAAGGCCATAACATCACATATTGTGGAGAAGCTCAGCAAAATGCAGCCTCATGCATACCACGTCTGTCACACTCCATACATATCACACAGCATTCGCTTCATCACAGAAACTGAGCAATTGGCACTAGCGTCCCTCACATATAGCACACACTCCCTTTCACAGAAAGTAAGCCATTCCACAGAAGTAAGTTCCAAAACAAATGAGTTCCACAGAATTAAGTTCAGAAACAAAAGAGATTCCCTCCCTGCTCTGTTCACATGCTGTTGTTTTCTTTCTTCTTTTTTTTTTTTGTTTGGTTCTAGCAGTTACAGTCAGGCCGAGCTGTGCGAGGTTGGAGTTTCTCTTGTCTGTGCATGCGTCGTAGGGCATCACCGTACTGAATGCCTGAGCCCATACGCTCTGGGTCCAGCTCACCTGAAAAATTTTAACTTGTAAGTATAAAATTTTTTCGGACACACAATGCGGAAAGAAGCATTAGAGAACATTGTAACAACAGGAAAGTTTGATGGAAAGAGAGGTAGAGGCAGACAGAGGGAAAAGATACTGGACAAGATGACAACATGGCTGGGAGCAGCAAGAACAACAGACACCATTGCTGCTTCGAAAGACAGATGGAAGTGGAGGTCCATGATCGCCCACGCCAGTCGGCAAGGCACCGGATGATGATGATGATAATGTGAGACAAAACACTGGCACTGGAGGGGGGGGGGGGGGGGGGTGCGGCACACAACTTGCTCACACACATGCCATGGAGTATAACTGAACAAACAAAAAAATCTAATAATACTAAAGCATCCACTGACCACCTACATACAGAAGACATTATTTTAAAAAAATGTATGTACTAATCCCAAGCTATCAAATAAAAACACAATGGTCCAATGACAGGAGAGTCTACTTAATTCAAGCACAGTTAAGCCACTGATCCATCAAGCAGACAACAGTGGTAGTTGGAAGGAAAATAAAATCCCTGGTTTTTTTATCATCTATTTGAGCAATCTCTCTAACTGAAAGCACAGTTAAACTGAACAAGCAGGACAGTGCCAAACTATCATTGGCTCTATCATTATTTAAACTTTCGACATAAATCTAAGGTCAAACACGATTTTCAGTTTAGTTTTAGTAGAGTTTTACGGCACTGGCAACACAATAAGGTCAAATAAGTGCCGAAGATTTCAGGTGTTACAAGAGAGTAACAAACACAAAAAAAAAGGAGGGGAGATAGAGACAATATATTTTTTTAAAGGAAAGAAGAAGCAAACCGCACCAGAGCACCCGCCAACCACCCACGCATGATTTTTAAAGTGAGTAGTCAATACAACAGCAGTAGCATCTGTGCGAGTGAGACTCAAAACACATGAGCCTGTAGTTTCTAAACAAAGAAGGAACAGGTACTATGTATACTAAAATTGGCAAAGAATACGATGGGAATTTCAATAGAACAATCTTCTGTGTACACTAGGGTACACTATACCCAATCCCAAGAATGGAAAAGAGATAATTAGTTACTCAAGACCATGACCGAAATTCGTAACTTGAAGAGACAGTTGAAATCCCCTAAAAATCCTATCCATCATATGCTTTTAGGCGTTATTTTTATTTTAGTTGTTCAGTGCCTACGTCTCAATGAAAATAGTCTATGTGTGTGTGTGTGTAGTGTGTGTGTGTGTGTGTGTGTATGTGTGTGTGTGTGTGTGTGTGTGTGTGTGTGTGTGTGTGTGTGTGTGTGTGAAGGGGAATGAATAGGGGATTGTCATTATAATACAGAAAGATATGTAGGGGGTTGTCTTGGCAGGTGGTCATTAGAGCATGTTCAACAATATACACTAAATAAGCAAATACTGAAACAAAAATAAATTATACACCGTTGTAATCTCAAATACTTACCTGACTCAATCTTTGTCAGGATGCAGCGGGCACATTTGAGAAATGTTTCCTCCACATTCTCTCCAGTCAGAGCACTTGTTTCAAGAAACATCAGCTCTAAAAAAGTCGTAGGGAAACAGACAAAATAAAACACAAATAAAACTGTAATGAGAAATGGATACATATTGCAGATACAATTTCATGATCCAGCAAAGTTTGAGGATTAGATTCACAACCTTCTAAATTTTGTAATGGGTTATCTGGGAAAGGGTACCTCAAAAATAACTTTTACTTGAGGCCGCCAAGAACTTTGCTGTGTCAGACACTATTTCCCTATTTTCTGAGGTGCATTGAAACATTTACTGCAGCATAAACTGACCCCAACAACTGTTTTTGCTACAACTGGAAAGCGCTTTAAGAGTGATACACTTACCATTCTCTTGAGCAAAGCGACTGGCCTCCATGAATGTAACTTCCCGCTCTGCTTCTAAGTCCTTTTTGTTCCCGACAAGGACAATGACAATGTTTGGGCTTGCCAATGTGCGTGCATCTGTCAGCCAGTTGGTGAGGGCATTATAAGTCTCACGGCTGGAAAGTTAAAAAAAAAAAGCGTACTACAATCACAGGAGACATAATTTCACATCAGCCTCAATAACATAACAATAGCCTTGGCAGATTTTCGTTTTACAAGACCGAAAAAAAAAAAATGCTGAGAAGCAGCTTAGGAAAAGATGAAAGAACAAAACTGAAAAAGACCATCCATTTATATCTATAACTTTACCAAAAAAAGAGAGAATAATGAAAAACATTATTTGAGAATATCATAATCCAAATGGAAGAACAAAAGAAAAGAGCCTGACAAATATTCTTAAAATCAAAATGAATGAAAGTAAGAAAAAAAAAGGGAAAAGAAAACCTCAGGAAAAAAATAGTTAAAAGTGACAGATGAGAGTACTCTCTTTAATAAGTCACCAACCTTGTGATGTCATACACCAAAAGAGCTCCAGCAGCCCCCCTGTAGTAGCTGCGGGTCACTGACCTATTGGAAAGATATACACAGATGAAAACTCTTAGCACAATAACGCATTTTCATCAATGAGTCTAAGTTACTTAAATCCACCCTAGATAGCAAGGGGTGTAAGGGGTGGGAGGGGGTGGGAGTGTGAAGACAAAAATTTGGCTGAAGTAAGCTGATTTTGAGTTAAAGGGATTACAGAAAAGAGCAAAAGATGTTCTGTATGCACTTTCCAGAATAATCTTACAAAGGCTCGGAAAGGTAACCCTTGATTGGGGAAGAAAAGGAAGCATGAACTTAGCCAGCCTTCAAAACTTGCCTTAACTGTCTTCAGTAACAAGTATGCCACAGGATATAACAGTTTTATACACTTTTCTTTAAACAGGGTCGAGGAAAAGGATGTTGGAACTTCACCTACAGGTTTATTTGACACATAAATAGAAGAAAGAAACCTGCAGACCTAAATAAAATGGTAAAAGTAGTCATGGTGTCAGGTTAAATAAGGTTATGCAATGTGAAGTTCTCTTTATCAAAGCAACCATAATGGAATGTCAATATATAAATTGTAGAAGTTTTAAGCCCGCATCTACACTATTTCTATTATGGATATGTGCAGCTTCAATCCTGCCTGTCAAGGGGATACGACATCCAAAGGCACTTTGCACAAATTTTCCTCACTTCACCCAGGTGGAAATGGGTACCCAGCTATAGACAGTGAAAGATCTTGTCAGTTTGATAGTATTTGAGTGCGTGAAATCCGCAGCTTGCACTGTATGCTTCTGCGGAAGCTGAGAATGTTTCTGAGTGTTCTCAGAGGGTCTGCTGGGGTAATAATGGTTGTAAAGCGCATAGAGCAAGCTCTTGAGCATGGATATGCGCTATATAAATGCAATTATTATTATTATTATCCAAACAGAGGAAAGGAAATGTTCTTTAACATGTACCCTGTGTGCGTCACCGAAGAACCAAACTGCAACACTACAGATGCAAGCTTAAAATGAAGAACAAACTACAAAAAAAAAATGTTCAGTCATGACCTACAATTCAAACCATTTTCTAATTTAGCGGTATCAACTTTCTGTTGATAAATCACACCAAACTAACATTAGCCCCATGAAACATGATTAGCTTCAACACTTCACAACAAATAAATAACCAAAAATTGAATACACTGATAAAACAATTCTACAAAAACAGAAGAGCGATTCTAATAATAGTGTAGATAAGCACCCCTTATTAAATATAATAGGTAGAGGAAATTGAAATATTTTAGTTTTAGTTATAGTAAGAGTTTTACGACACTTGCAACACAATAAGGTATAAGTGCCAAAGATTAGAGGTTCTACATGAGAGTAACAAACATTAAAAAGAAGGAGGAGAGATCAGGACGATAGATGTTTGATAGGAAAGAAGGAGTAAACCACACCAGAGCACCCGCCAACCACCAACTTGAAATATTTGGATAAACTGCATTGTCAATGTTGTCATTCTTACCTGAATCGCTCCTGGCCAGCGGTATCCCAGATCTGTAGTTTGACAGCTTTGCCACCAACATTGACGACCTTGCTGCCAAACTCTACACCAATTGTGTGGTTTGAATCTTGCTTAACTGTAAGAGATAAATATGGACAACATGCTGTACAATTTACAGTTGGACAAGGTTTAGAAAGCATTAGAATTACAGTTGAAATTGTCTGAGATGGTCACCCATTGACAAGGAGAATTTAAGTGGTTGTCATAGTTGGGTGGACGTCTTATATTGTGTCATTTTAGTGTGGGAAAAAAATGCAAGGGAGGAATAGGGGTGTAGCCTTTTATACAGATAACTATCTGTTACTGGTGGCTTTAGGGCGGGTCTGATAGTTGTAGGTGAAAGAAATTTATGCAAATCATAGCAATGACATTGACCTTCAAGTTATCCACAATAAGACTTTTTAACACATGATGAAATTAGCTACTTTGAAGAAACTGAACTTAAATATGATACAGGTAAAAAGCATTCACACATAACAAAGAAAGTCAGACAGAGAATTTTTAAAAAACTTACATTTGCTTTCAATAAATTGATGCAGAATGCAAGACTTCCCAGCTCCTGCACTTCCAATAACAAGGAACTTGAATAAAAACTCTGTGGAAAAAAATTACAATTGAAGAAATTGGAATCAGAGATCTACTTCAAATTTCAGCAGGCTGTTATGTGAACTTGAATGAAGCGAAAACTCCATGATCATAGAATGCCACACACTCTCAAAACCTCCTCACTCGACAAACAATACTGATCAAACAAAAAACACACATGACTATGACATTTCAGTTTTACAGGAGCTGTGAGTGGGACAGTGATTTGTCAGAGGGACAGCAAATCTGACATCACAACTTGAAATTAAAGAGCAAAAAGAATGACTGGTAATTTTAAACCTATCTGCACCATTGCTTCTTAATTTTATAAACCAAACTACAATCTTTCGATAAAATAATGTTTTCACAATCAGGATGATCTTGAACAGAGAGTGAAAGATAGCGCAGCATGACGAGAACACCTATGATGGCTAGGGAAGGAGTTCCGCAGAAGGCCGGCCGATCAACGGCACACAAAAGAGGGGATATTTTGACCGGGGTATCCAAAAAAGTTGGGTTAACTATTATGTTTTGTGGCTTTAGCGGGGGGGGACCCCGCACCTCCCCGGCTTTAGCGGGGGGGGGACCCCGCACCTCCCCCCCCCCCCCCGTCGGAATCTTATAGTTTTTTCAGCCCCCTCCTTCCAAAATGGAAGTCCCATATTCTCAATTGTCAACGGAAAAAGGTAATGGCGGCTTCCACATGACTCAAATTTGTCCTTGACTGGAGCTGTCAAATGTGCTTTGCTCTATAAAAAATAGCTCGCCTAGTCATCAAATATCGAAGTGATTATTTGGACTTGAGTCACATTGAACAAAAATTATATTCGGACTCTTGTCCCTCAATATTTCCAGTATTTAGGAAATTTTAAAAGATTATAATGATAACAATCGAGACGTGAGCTTTAATCCAGTTACTAGATCTAGATCTAAACTTGCCCTCCCAGCTTCATTAGTATGAACAGAACAACCAAGTTGAGTTGACCTTGCGGGGGGCAAAGATAATTATGCCGTAAAGTGAGATTGCGCGTAGTGATCACACACTCTCGGCTTGCAGGGGGAAGAGGTGTTGGGAAAAGGCAACGGCTGTCGATTTTGTGCGATGTGATTTTTTAAAAAAAATTGATTGCAGAAAAACAATAAAAGTAACACCAAAAAAAATGAATTTATATATGCGGAAAGACAAATGGTGGTGGAAGTAATAATGATGCTGTTGTGGTGGAGGAAAGACCCTGAGTTGTCGGTTACCGTGTACGTAGACACTGTCATAGGGCAATGAGAGTGCAGTCTTTTGACTTTTAACACAATTACACAGTCCTAGTAGGTAATTCTAGTTGTGTTTTCTAATTCTGGTTTTATGACTGGGGTCCGAATAGAGCTGGCCGTCAAATATAGCCTACCAAAATGTAGTCCTAAATCATCAAACGGATTATATAAGTGCACCAACTCTTGTATATCGTCGGCAGAGAATTCTAACCGTCTAACTCGAAATTTTCTCGAATTGCTTTTTTCCTTAAAATAGATCGACATAACGAATGGCTACGTCCTATTAAAATCTAGAACAATTTTGACAAACAAAAGTCTTGTTTTAAAGAGAAATTCTAACCGTATATTCCGACTGGCTTCCGTGACTGAAGAATTCTAACCGTCTAATTCGTTTAGGTAGTCCGCCATTGTGAAAACGGCGATAACGTTTTGCTCTAAAGGAGGCGTTTGATTATAAATAAAATGTAAAATCAGAAAAGGCTGCTTTTGTTAAAGGGTTGGTCGACTGTGTCGAGCCTGTGGAGAAAAAGGAAAGAGAAAGCAGAAGTTCGTGGTCCATGAAGTACCATCTGCGAGTGAATGGGGCCAGAGTCAAAGAGTGCACGGTTTTCTTTTTAAGTCCTGTACTTTGTTACTAGTGTGTTCACATTGTTCTCACATGTGGATTGGGTGTAGCAGAGGGTGAGGTTCCAGTTCAGAGAAAAGGGTTAGGGAGGAGACTACAACATCAAAGGTACTTAAACAGTTTCTTCGTGATCTGCCCAAGTTGCCGCCTCACTATTGCCGAGGGACTCCAGTAAGTTATACTTGGAACCTGTTTTCCAGAGCTTACAGGCAGTGTACCGCCGTTTGTATAAAGAAAAGTATGAGTGTGTGTATGTGGGGGGGGGGGGGGGGGGGTATGTGTATGTTATGTCTCAAATGAATTCGAAGGTGCTCTTACTGCAAATAAATTTGCTCCTTGTGTGGTTGATTTTTTGTCGTCTGATTTGACTCCAAATCATTATATTCAGATGGATGTGGTTGTATCAGAACTGCAAAGTCACAATGAGTTCTGCACTGTTACATTTCAGCTCTGTCAAAGGTAAAACTGTAACATTAAAATTCCTGGAGAAGGGCTATACACAGATGGAGTTGGACAGAGCTCACAGCACATCTACTACCCAGCTGATTATGTCAGGCTAATGGAAGAAAGTAGGAAAGTGAAGCCATATGTAGTCAAGTATTTGACTCATTGTATCTTTTCTGATTTCATCAATCTAACCAACCAGAGTTTTCACACCAGATGGTCAAATTAAATACAAACTGAGATTTGATGATGACTGGTCACATCTGCCTTTGAAGCGTGGCGAGTCCACAGACATTCTCCATAAAGACATGAAGGGACTGCCTCTGTACCAGGGTAGAAAGTTTGATTCGTCCATAGAGAACTTTAATAACACATGCAAGAAATGAAGTCTGTTGTGCCATCTGACTACCACAAGTTCTATGACAATCTAGAATTGAGTACGTCACCAGTGAGCAAGTTAAAACCCACGGTTAAGTCTAATTTGATATGCAGTGTATTGTGTTTTGGTTTATGTAGTTTATTTTTAGCTAACCAGAGCTTTAGCTTCATTGGGTAGATTTTAAAGCGTCATAATGGTGCTTGGACAAGAGGATAATTCATTCCTGTTGACACTGGATGCTGCTATGGCATACCTCATCTTGATGACTTTCTATGTAAAATGTGTTATTTAATTAGGCCATACATTAGGTGGAGATGCATTATATGAGGTTTAGTTGAGCTTAAAAAAAAATCATATTACTTCTAGAGTCTTCCAACCAAGTTAAACCATGTTTTTAGAGTTAGAAGCATTTCAGTTTCTTCCACTGGAGAACTGATGGGTCGCTTTTCCATCTTGCTCAACTTCGAGCCAAGACCAACATCAACAAACCAAACAAGAATACGAGACCTTTTCTTTGCCGGTGATGCTGCTGTTGTAGCTCATAATGAATCAACCCTACTAATAATCCTGTGTTTAAGAAGATTGAGATGGCTGGGCCATGTCAAGAGAATGGACGACAACCGGATTCCGAAGCAATTTCTCTATGGACAACTTGCCCATGGAAAGAGACCAAGGGGAAGGTCAAAACTGAGGTACAAAGACATCTGCAAAAACAGATTACCTAAGCTTGGAGTAGATGTCAGCGTCTGTGAAGAAATAACCAAGGACAAGAAAACATGGAGCAAAATGATTAATGAAAGAACTATTATGCTAGTGACTAGAGAGCAAGCACTGCGACAGAATCTGCACTTCAAACAGGAAAAAAGTAGCCATAAAAGAAGCTCCATGAAGACAATTCGTATACGGAAATTCTTCTCTGCCCCCCCCCCCTCACCCCCCCCCCTCTCTCTCTCTCTCTCTCTGTCTCTCTCTCTTTCAGACCCCTCCCCCTCTCTCTCAGTCCCTCCCCCCTTCTCTCTCTCTCAATCTCTCTCTCTCAATCTCTCTCTCTCTCTCTCTTGTAGCTAGACAAGAAACCAATCCTTCTCACAATTTCCTTGAGAATGGAGGATCAAATAGTAGCTTTATAGTAAAAACTTAACGACGCACTTAATCTGTCGACAAGCCCATTGCCTAATTAGAATTATGTGGAAATAAAGTGCGATGTTCAGTTTTAGATATAATAACAGTATTATTGTTAGATTCTAGATCTACAGTACTATGTAGTACTAGTTAGAACTTTTCTAGTAGGTTTCCTATTGGATTGACTGCAGGTGTAGTCATTTCGAGTTGTTCGGTAACACTAAATTGTCACGATGACTGAGTTAGACGTAACGAAGCGCGTGGCGTCCCCGCCAGGTTGGAGAATTTTAAACGAACATTTCGTTCGTCGACACTTGGACGGTTAGAAATCCAAAACTGAGCGCTCTATCCGTATAACTCTGGTTTAGGACTTAAAATAATAAAATTTCGGCAATTTTGTTTTAAATACTTAAAAATAGAGTCATGTATTCCAGTCTAGCGCATTTAAAGACAGTAAGTCCCCATAAGAGCCTTTGAATTCAGTTTTTTGTCTCTCCTGTAAAATTTACGAAATCGGAGTTGGACGGTTAGAATTCTCCGCCGACGATATATAGTTTACTCAGTGGACCTTGTCACGGTAAGTGTCGGCCCTCTGCGCAACTCCTCCCACGGCTAGTAGGTCTAGCGCTAGCATTGTGACTGAAATATTGACTATCACGAGAAATAAGTTTATTAGTTTCGCAGTGGCTACGTTCACAGTTCACAGCGACGTGAATGTAGAGGGCAGGCTACGTTCAAGACGCCCTGAATGCAGTTTGCAGGCGCTGTGTTGAAGCTACGTTCACGGTACTAAAGCTTCGTTTTGGGGGAGCGTTCACTGCCGGTTTCAGAACCAGTTTTAGTCAGTGACGACAGTGACGTATATTTAATATTTTGGCCAGCTTCAAGAGTTCCATCCCATGAGATGAAGGAAAACAAAGCGCCCTTACAGAATTAACGTCGGGATACAATATGGTAAATGGAAAATTGGATACGGTACAATGGGAAACAAGAGGTGAGAGATGGGAAACAGAACGTGGGATTCAGAAGATGGGACTGGTCATAAAATGTGTACAATAAAATGACTGTATTGCACCGGGTTTCCCCCCAGTCAAAATTTTAATGAATAGATCTACTGGTCCGAGATTCTCCACTGAGAGATATTAAAAACTGTGGAAAATCATGAATTCCTAAGGTTGAGACATAGGCAGTCCGCTGGTCCGGTATTCTTCAATCTTACCTGGAACACTTGAAGCAGGCTAAAATATTAAATATATGTATACGTTACTGTCGTCATTGACTCAAACTGGCTTACTTAACTCTTCATATGTCCGGTGAGCCGGTGGCAGCGGCTCAGCGCGAAGTGGGTTTGGCAGGCGATCCGCTGACACCGGCTCGCTACACTAGCCTTCATTAAATACACACGAAACTAATATTTTATAACATCAACTGAAATTATGGTCGTAAATGCCGAAAATAGGTATTTTTCTGTTTGTACTTTCATTTTGTAGCGTTTGTGCGGGCGCGTTTGCTAGATTTGATGGGTTGTTTCCAAACAGCAGACTTTTTGTGTATAATTTGTTTGTGTTGGTTAGGGAGATTATCATGGCTGGAGATTGCTCCTGAAATAATTATAGTGACAGTTTTCTTGTTTGGATTATACTGAGACAAAGTTTTCATTCCATTTGAATATTATACATCTAGATCTAGATGTTGGATCTTGTTGAGGCTCTATTCAGGTTAGTTCATGTAGGCTTATATGTCTATGTGAATGTGACTTTTTTATATGTGGTTATTGTACACCTCATCTTACACCTGGAAACTTCAAATAATTACTCAAAATTACTTTGAAAACGTGCATATAAAGACACAGTTTTCATGTTAGGTATATATTCAAACAAAACTATAAATGTAAGCCTTTGAGTTATTGTATAACAAAGTGTATTTATAGAAATCTAGATCTAGATCTAGCTGTGTTTACACTTTTCATGCCGAATGTCGGTTCTGATACATTTTATTATTTTGGTGTATTTCAAAAGAATGGGCTTCATAGAAGCTACAGCCACCATAGATCATGTAATCCTAGAATGTATTCATCAACATTTTTGCTTCTTTTACTTTGGCTCTGTGTTCAAGTTTTATAAAGTTACACCCCTATTTGTGTGAACAGAGTTATGTAATATTGCAACATTTTTTTTGCTAATGATAATGGCCTTTTACTTCAATAGTCTATTATTATTCTTCAATGAAGGCATCTAAAATGAACACCAATAAATGCAACTTTCATTTCTGAACACAATCATACCAAAAGTTTTGATGTGGGTCTAGTAGATTGAAAGTTATATATAGACATTTGTAACCCCCCTACTGCCTACTGCTGTATTGGGAGGCTTCGGTCAGAACAAAAATCCTCTACGTACATGAAGACTAAGAGTTAAACCGGCAGTGGACGCTCCTTCTAAACGAAGCTTGAATGCCGTGAACGTAGCCTCAACAGCGCCTGCAAACTGCATTCAGGGTGCCGTGAACGTAGCTTCAACAGCGCCTGCAAACTGCATTCAGGGTGCCGTTAACGTAGCCTGCCAAATACGTTCAAGACGCCGTGAAGCCGTGAACGTAGCCTTCCAATTTAGTTCCATGCCATAGGCGCAAAAGCATTGTGTACGGAGAGTGAGTCTTTTTTGTGCATTAAACAAACAACAAGAAAATAAGACTTGTTTTTGTCTCAAACTCCAAGACCCAACTCTGTCTCAGTCTCCAGAGGCATTTATTAGTCCTGGACCTGGCCTGGACATTTTAGATTGACGATCTCGCCAGACAATTACATGCATTTTCAACAAAGATGTAGAGATCTACACCAACATACCATACGACTCAGACATATTAAATTTTCAAAATATCTCCAAGTCTGTCAAAATCAAGCAACGTATCGATTGCAACTTGTAACTGATCTCTGCTTAGTAATAACACAGCTCTTTTCCCTGTCATCCGCGTTGATGTCATGTAGTTGTTTATTTTTGGTACTTCCCGTTCGGTGCTAATTTTGCCAGGTTTCATGTCCGATCAAAATTCTGCCAAAAGTTATAAGATAGGGAGTTCCAAGTTGTTGGAGCTCCAAGAGAATTAGGCCTAGCCTACATGCGATTGCTGTAAGCCATATAAATGTTTATCCAATCAAGAACATGTTATGATGTGTCTTTTATTTAATCGAAAAAAACAACAACAACTGAACAAAGCAAAATAAGAAACAAGCACATCAGCGACGGGTTTCGTAGACCAACACACCTTGTCTAATATTGAAGGCTGAGCATGAATTATTCCTCGAGTGAAACTTTTTGCATCCTTGAAAACAGCCAGACAACGTTTTTCACTCTGATGTTAAGAGTGTAAGATAATTTGGAACAAAACAAGAGAATGTATAATGTATTTGAGCATTCATCCCGTTGTTCTGTAAATTTACGGAAAGCCAAACTGACACTTGTTGCGGTGATCAGCTGTTTCAACTACCCGAGCAGAAACATCGCCAGCTTGCAAGAATGGAATGCTATCCATAGCTTGGTGATAAGCCTCGCGTCTCTGTAGACGCTGTAGACTCGAAGAAAAATAGCGAGTTTTTTGTAATCATACATTTTTTATTTTTTTAAATTCCACCCTCAGGCCTCACTTTGATTTTTGTATAAAATGAACGATCCTAAAATACGGAATAGACCTGCGTACATGATTAAATAGTGCCGTACATCATTTATACATGGGAATCAATTTATAGTCTAATACAAAATGAAGATATTACATTTGATTGATTCAGGAATCCATTCTGTTTTATCCTGTTCGCCATTTAGATGTAGCCCCTCCCCCTACCCCCTCCCTTCCCTCTCTCCTCTCCCCCCCCCCCCCCTCCTCTCTCTCTCTCTCTCTCTCTCTCTCTCTCTCTCTCTCTCTCTCTCTCTCTCTCTCTCTCTCTCTCTCTCTCTCTCTCTTCTCTCTCTAGTGCTCCTGTCATGTTTTCATGTGTTTATCTTTTTTCTGATCCGTAGCTTATGCTGTTATTCATTGGATGATCAATCTGTGACTTACCATCGAATCGAACAGCCAGCCTGGGCTGTCTATGATATATTATATCTACCTGCTTCGTTTACATTTTGGATTTTCTTAATTTCTGATCCCGCTATCTTCTAAAATTGACCCTCTTCTAAAATCGTAATTTCCGGCCCTGTTGATTTTGACAACAGGTATCACCAAATGATACATACTCACCACAATTAGACATCTAGTGCACAGCTGATCAATCTCCGCGGACTTCTCAATTTAACATGTATTGGCACAATTATAAATCATTCGTAAACATCGTGCAATATTATATAAGTGCACGTGCGTACACACACAGAGACAGGCACGCATGCACGCACACACACACTCACACACACACACACACACATACACACACACACACACACACACACACACACACACACACACACAAACACTCACGCGCGCCCGCGCATAATTTTAGATTTAACATGCACGCAGAAAGCGCACGTGTGCCGCGTACACATACTCATGCAAACACACGCACATTAACATACGTGCGCACGTACGCATACATCTCGCACGCATGTGACACACTCATGCAAACACACGCACAAACATACGGGCACACACGCATACACACATATATGACCCACTCTCGTACACACACATACACACAGGTAAACACACACACGCACGCACACAAACACACGCACACACACACTACACACACTCATGCAAACACACGCGCAGCGCACACACAACATCGCACATGTGCGCGCTCGAACACACACACGCTCACACTACACACACACACACACACACACACACACACACACACACACACACACACACACACACACACACACACACACACACACACACACACACACACTTGCAAAGTGTCAGAAGGATTCACGCACCATTTAAAGGTCTTTAACTTTAAAATTTGGTCTCACTTAATTAAACCCGCACGAACATCACATAGACAACATTATTATAACTGAAAAATTAATAAATAAATTATATTCTAATTACCCGTTTTGACTAAGTCTATAGGTCTACATTCATGTACATGTATGCTTATTTTTGAGTCAGTGGCACACATCCTAGGCTTTCTCATTTCTGAGAAAGCCTAGCAGACATCTCATTGTAGCAAAGGAGGCCTACGATAACATTAGTCTTGCAGCAGGCAAACACTGTGAAACTATTCAACGAATCAGAACCGAAACGAATATTAGTAGTTGCCGGGTAGGAATGAAATATAAAACTAAATTTTATAGGAGTACTTTCTTGGGAAGAAATTGATTATTCTCAATTTATATTATTCAGTCAAACAAAACAAACGTAAGGAAACATATCTATACAGAGATTCACCGTATTGCAATTCGTTAGTTTCTTTGAAGTCTAGATAAACAACTCAGATCAACGAAAAAAGGAAGGCTAAGATGCGGCCAATAATATTATTATGATGTGAAATCGTTGGGAACTGGGAACACCTGGCATTGATCAATGGCGGGGTCGACAAATGATGACAAATAGCCCCGATGAAAGTGATTTAAAAGCTTAGATCTCTAGTTTTGTAAAGTGAACAACAATTCTGGACCCTGATCCTGTGTACTTATACTTTGCGCCCGAGGTAAGATTGAAGAATACCGGACCAGCGGACTGACTTTGCCTATGTCTCAACCTTAGGAATTCATAATTTTCCCGTTTGTAATAGGAGGCTATCTCTCAGTCTCAATGGAGAATCTCGGATCGGTAGATTAAAATTTTGTCACGGGGGAGACCCCCCTGAACCACCCCTCCCCCCTCCTCCACCCCAACCACCCGCCGCACCAACCCCACTTTCTCGCGCAATAATGTACGAGTGGTCCGGTATTCTTCAATCTTCCCGATGCTTGATTTGCATTCACGAGTAGAATCTATTTATCATATGGCCACCTCTATTCTCACCCGGGGTGAGAATAGTGGAGGCGAGTCTTTTGGCTATTCTCACCCGCTGCGCGTTAACCGTTATATAGCCTAGATCTAGGCCAACAAATTTTGCGTTCACCCTAAACCACAAAATTCTACACTGTGATAACAGAAAAATTGTAGAATTGTGTGCCGTGAACAAATGTTCCATTACAAATGTAGCCTACTAAAAGGGGGGGGGAGGAGTAGATCTAGATCTTGCGAGAACTTCCGGGCAAAACAAAATGGCGACCCGCGTAGTTCAGCTCGATTCGAACAGTGAAATAGCCATAGCATCTTTGAAGACGATCAAATTAGCTTACTTTTGTGCTATACTATAACGTAATTTTTTCTTGGCTTTTATCAATTTGATCATCCACACCGATAGACAGTATTCCAAAATGAGGAAAAGCAGGTCTTGTTTCGCACCGGGTGAGAATAGCCTACGCTGGCAAGTCTCACCCGGGGTGAGAGGTAGATCGTTTTTCTATTCTCACCCCGGATGAGAATAGCCACTTCCATATAATATCTAGATCTAGATCTAGAAAGGACCTGAAAAATCAGAAAAAGTAGATTTACCGTTCGATTCTTTAGCCTTTATTAAATTATTAGCCAGTTTAGCTGGACTTTTGGTGCTTTTTCGGTAGTTCCCACCCCCCATATTTGAGCCTGACCTACATCTAGATCTATACGTTTGATTCGCGGCGAGCCAAGATATCAAACCTAACACCTGCAAAACATTAAATTGTGGTAAAATTCAGGGGGGCATGTGCCCCTGAAACCCCCCCACCTTATAATGCCTTATTATAGTAGGTCAGGGGGGCAAGCCCCCCTGAAACCCCCCTACTCTTGGTGCCAAAACTCGTGAATAACAATTGCAGGGTGGGAACTACCGAAAAAGCGCCGGACTTTTCCCTCCTTCTCGCCTTCTGGCTCTGGCTGGTGGTACAAGTACTCTTCAACAAAGTAGGTCTACAGTCTACTGGAGTGAGGATGACTCTTTCAACGAAGAATTTGAAGAGTAATAGCACTATCTAAGATTTCCAGATCACTAAGATCAGGCGATAAAAGTATCTTGACTTTAAAGTAAAGAGTGTGATCTTGTGTTCTGTTTGTTAAAGTTTAAAGTCCACGATATGATTTGTTTACATCCAGAGAAGAAATCCAGAAGTCTTGATGACCAAATACTATTTGAAATAGGCTACACAAAGAGCAGGGATGCAACCTAACTGCAAACATCAAAGGATCATTCAGGGGGACATATTTTTATCGAAGTGACTATTTCTCAGAACGTTCGGAGAAATAGTGCCCAGCTTTATTTCTCCGAACGGTGTCGGCTTCCGGTCTCATGATTTTTGCCTATTTATTGCGAGAGTTCGGCACCAACTTTCATTCTGCCGACTGCCTCTGGTCTGGGAAGGAACACCGCATGGCAAGCCCGCCTACAGACAACCTTCATGCACATGTACACACACTAACTAAACATAGAAATAGAGCAGCCCAATTTTTGACCTCTCTTCTAGGAACTCTTTGCGGCGATTTTGTAGTTTCGTACATTAAAAACAAGAGTAGGGGGGTTTCAGGGGGCCTGCCCCCCTGACTAATAAAAATAGGCCGGCACTATTTCTCCGAACGTTCGGGAAAATAAAGCTGGGCACTATTTCTCCGAACACTCTGTCGTCGTCTTGTACTGTAGTTTCTGTCGCCTGTGGATACACTCGCACATTCTTCCTTTCACTCACTCTTTCACTCACACTGTCTCTCCATCCACAGTTCAGCTCGTCATACGTTCAAAAGTTGCCCCTCTACAGTGTGAGTGAAAGAGCGGCCCCCTGAAACCCCCCTACTCTTGTTTTTAATGTACGAAACTACAAAATCGCCGCAAAGAGTTCCTAGAAGAGAGGTCAAAAATTGGGCTGCTCTATTTCTCCGAACGTTCGTAAAAATAAACTCTGGAGGGATTATTTTTTTTACATGATGGATTTTAGTTTTTGCTGGGTGACTAAAGACAAAATAAGTTACTGTTAAGGTCGATCAGTCTTGTTTTCTTGTAGTACCTTTTGAAGGTATTTTCAAATGCAGTATAGTATAGATCTAGTCCGGGAACGTTTCCCCAACCACAACTGAAGTATGAATATTCAGACATTTAAAAGTCTCTAGCTCTAAAAAATGCTTCTTCCCAGTCCTCGCAGAATGAAAGATGACGCATTTAAATCTTGCAAATAACCAAAAAATCTCGAGAATGGAAACCGTTAGAAGAAATAGAGTTCAAGTTCAAGTTTATTTTCCCGAACGTTCAGAGAAATAATCACTTCGTAAAAAGGAACTGAAAGATCGTTTGCCCACCTTGCTCCATCAGTTTGGAACTCTCTTCCCCCACCCTTGAGACAGGCCTACAACGTATGTGTCTAAATTTTAAAAAATTTTAAAGACACATTTAATGACATCATTTTTATGTCAGAAAATTCATGTTCAGTACAATCATAATGTTGGATAAAGGTATTATATGTGCTCATTTCGTAACGATGTGTAAGCGGGCACGTGTGATTTAAGCAAGTAGATGTGTGTGTGTGTGTGTGCGTGCGTGTGTGTGTGTGTGTGTGTGTGTGTGTATCATGTGTGTGTGTGTTTATGCGTTCGGCGTGCATGTATGTGTGTGTGTGTGTTTGGCGTGCATGTATGTGTGCACACGTGTGCGTGTAATGTGTGCGTGAGTGTGTGTTTGTATGTGTGTGTGTGTGTGTTAGTGTGTGTGTGTATGAATATGTGTGTGCGTGTGTGTGTCGCGTGCCTGAATATTGTTCGTACATGCATTTGTGTAAAGCGCCTAGAGCTGTGTTTACACGGGAGTGGGCGCTATAGAAATGATCTTCATGTTATTATATAATTATTATTATTATTATTTACAGTAATTTAAAGTTACTAGATCTAGAGATCTAGATCTACACATCTAGATATCTAGGTCTAGAAGAAGACTAAAATAGATTGCGGAAATACGTCTTATCTATATTTGGGCCAATAACAGAGGTGTGCTATGTGCTCATTGTAGCTTCATGTATTTTTTTTGGTACTAATTTGTGTTATCTTTTATTTTATAAACAATCTCAGCTATTTTTGTTCCATAAATGTACCTTCTCCTCAAAGTTGCGCGCACACACACAAAAGCATACACGCACACACACGCAGACACACACACACACATACACAAACGCACACACGCGTGCTCACACGCGAGCAACGCGCGCTCATAGCCCAGGCAGTTGGAGATGAAACCTAGATCTAGTGACATAATCCATTGCGCGCTAAGCGGCAAAGCCGGCCCGCCACGGTGAGATGTAGTCACAGAATTCTATGGCAAAGGAAGCCCTGGAAGACGACAGAAATAGAAAGCAGAAATACTTCATCTGGTGCTAGGTGCTTGCTGTAGCTTCACGTAATTTTGACCCTCAAGCTAAGGCTAAAGTGGCAACTTATACTATTAATTCAAATTATAACACTTAAACTAAGTAGGCCTTCTTAGAAAATGTTAACATTTTAAAAGTGTACACGATAAGTGGTTAGTAGTTAGTTTTACACCTTAATTCGCCTTGAAAAGAAAGCTGAGTTTGTGGCTTTCATCTTTTCGAGATCACTGAATTTCAAAGAACAATAAAAAAAAAATTGAAGGCTTTTTTTTGGTGTTTCCTCAGAAACTTGTCAAGATGAAGTTACGATGTGAAGTTCAAGTTTCGGATCACCAGCTCTGCATTAAAAAGCCAGGGAAAGCTGCTTTTGCTCAAGTATCAGTTGGACGTAAACCTGGACATAAAGATGGTCCAATCTATGTGATGATATGTACTGCCCAGAACAGAAATGGAACAAAATATGTGGTAAAAGTATATTTCCATATTTTTCCTGAGCAATGTTATTTGTAATGCCTGTTTTAAAATAATAATTGCTGTAGAAGGTTTTTATCAATTCAGTACATTATTATTCTAATAATTATTATTATTATAATAATATATATATTATTTATACTGTAGAGTCCACAATTGAACACGAAAATCACGAATTCTCGGGTACCTCGAACATAATGCTTGGTGCCGTTTCAGCCCGTATTGTTTCTTTTTATTGACTTCATGGAGTTTCTGAAAACTCGGAACACCAAGTTTCAAATCTTGAACAAATCCTCTTCGCATTCTCAACTAAAGACCCGGCTTTACAGCCTTTCTGGCTGCGGATAACGGATAAATGTTTCTTTGTTATTGTTTCAGCCAAAACGTGGTCCTTGTCTCACCTCGAGAGGCTGGAGGAAGGGGAGACGCAGAAGGGGGGGTTAGGGGTTGATGCTGATAGCACCGCATGACTGGCTTGCCACATATGTAGTCATGCTGTGTAAGCCAATGAAATGAGAAGAAAGGAATGACGTAGGAGTAGGCTGTGCACACGTGAGATTTTCTGCTTTCCACTTTTATTCAGCTTATTGTTTTCACACCGGCAACACGCTCACTAAGGGAGCTAACCCTGATAATTGTTTTAATATTCTTTTTTACCTCCCTTGATTTTCATTCTATTTCTTTGTATTTGGGGCTTTCACGGATATGACAAATTACGGAAATCTCGAACACTATTTCCAGTCCCTGAGGAATTCAAGTTACCCGTGTTTGACTGTATTAAGTTATACATTTTGTAGACTAAAAGTACAGTCGAACCTGCCGTGACGGCCCCCTCTATGAGACGGCCACTTTCCATTTTCCCCCTTGCGTTTTTTCTTTATAATTTAACTGTGTAAAACGGGCACCTGTCCAACGTGACCGTGGTCACCATATTTTAACACACAACCCCTATCACACCAAACAATAACACGTGTCTTAGACGGCCACTTTAGTGGCTCCATTACGTTTTGTCATAAATTGTGCATTGGTCCATGGCGTTGTGGGCAAGCCGTCATAATCCAATCACCTGACGTTGTTAGGTAGTCCCTCCAACCGATCATGTTGCGTAGGCCCCTTCCACTGTTGACCAATAGGTAGCATATTTTCAGCTGATAGTGAGGTAAGCGTGTGATCCCTCATAACCCATAAGCCCCTCCCAGAACTCATACACACATCGTAAATGAGATGAATGGTCACTGTTTACCCAGTCTGTTACAAAATAACAATAGACGTCAACATGAACTTGTGACAGAAGCGTTGCTCATTCTCCGAGTGGTGGCGACCCATGTATTTGTTTCACCATAACACTCGGTCCTCCTTGTCTGACACTTCGATTTATTGTCACCCTTGCACAAAAGCAGCAACAAAAGACCAAAAACAAAAAAACCCAGCGAAAACAACAACAACAACAATGCGGCTACCTTTGGCTGGGACCTCAGAAAGGGTTGGTTTGTTTTTTTTCATCTTAATCAGTCCTGCCTAAGACGGCCACCTGTCTTACGGCCACTTTTCTCCTTGACAATGGGTGGCCGTCTTACACGGGTTTGACTACCTGAAAAGTGTATGCTTGTATTTGTATTATATTGATTATATAGTGGTGTCCACTTAAACTTACTGCAAGCAAGGTAAAAACATCAGCCTAAAAGCAGCCTAAGTGCAAGAAACTTGCATCTGACAAAAAGTTTTCTGCGGCCCCCCTAACTCTTCCTCTCGAAAATTCAGTTAGCATCAGCTGCCACTGAAACATTTTTAATGAAGACAATACAGGTTGCTTCATGTGGGATGAAATTTATTAAAAATGATTGTACTGTGCACCACGACAAAAGTAAAGTCAATGACAGTTTATAATGTTGCTCTTGAACATAATTTTGAATTGCCTTGTGTATTAATTTTTGCTTAAGATTGCCATAATGATAATATGCACAGTAAAAATAGATTTAAAAAAAGAATAATCATAATGATGTTTGAACAGTTTGCAGATAAATTTCTCATAATGCTTTGTGGACACCTTTGAAACTTACAAAAGACATTAAATGAGTATAGGGTTGTTCAGCACTTGAATTTTTTAATGTGAAGCTCTGATCCTTTTTTGCCCTTTTGGAACTGATCTATGTATTATTTCTCATTGATAGATATGCATTTTATACATTTGTTTTCTTTTAGATATGGAAAAACTTGAAACAGATTTTTGGAAAATTTGTGAAAGATGGAAAAGCAACCGTTCGTTTCATGAATCCCCCTCATGATTTGGCTTTTAGTAAGGTATGTACTGATATATTGCAAATTGTAATAATAATAATAGAGTGTATTGTGCAAGTTCCCGCTCAACAGCAAGCTTTGTATTTACATAGTCTAACCTGTCCAAGACAGAGAAGTTAAAAATGTTTGTCTTGGACAGATGAACGGTGCCATTCTGTTTGTACAGGTGATTGTCTATGATAAGTGGTCATTACAGCAAGTTCGACTGTATGAGTCCATAAAGCCTACTTTCAAGCACAGTTGATATGGGCCATGTTATTGTTGTTGTTGTTGTTTTATTATTATTGTTGTTGTTGTTATTATTATTACTTGTATTTTTTCCCCTGTAGAACCTAGTAGCTTGATGATGACTTAGTTCATGTGTACTGAAAATTTTACTTTTGTAAAAATAATAATAATAATAATAATAGATAGCATTTGTATAGCGTATATCCCCGCTCAACAGCAGGCTCTATGCGCTTTACACTATATTATTACCCCAGCAGACCATGGAACACTCCGAAACATTCTCAGCTTCCTGGGAAGCATACAGTGCAAGCAGCTGATTAAGCGCTCAAACACTAACAAACTGACAAGATCTTTCGCTGTCTATAGCCGGGAACCCATTCCCACCTGGGTGAAGTGAGGAAAATTCGTGTAAAGTGCCTTTCTCAAGGACACAACGTCGGGTCCCTGACGGGATTCGAACCCACGACCTTACGGTTGCGAGTCCGAGAGCCTAACCACTAGGCCACCGACGCCACAAAAGGGAGTTAACATGCAAGGCAGTGCTTTTTGTGTTGAATTTAGAAAACAAATGTCCGGAGAAAAGCTGAGGCGATAGTTTTTCCATTGAAGAACTTGTCAGTCTTGATGATAGACTGTCAGAAAGTTTTTGGCTATACATGCATTAAGATGAACAGGGATCCTAACAGTCTAGACAGGTCTATAGCTGTTCCTTCCTCTGTTGGAAGAGTCCCTATCATGTTTCATGGACATCTCATCCTGCTGATGCTTTCGATATTTTTTGGCTTGTTATGCATCGTGCCAGTCCCCACAGATCCGAGTGCAGACCAGCACCTCATATCACCTGCTTCCCTTGTAAGATGTCGAAGGTGTGGGATGATGAAAACGAATAAATAGTGAATTTTAATCTTGTGATGTATGAAAGAGTTGTGTGCGCAAAAAATGAGTTATTTGATTTCGAACATGATGCTCAAAAGGTACATGAATTTCTAGCCCTGATTGAATTTTTAGTTTTAGTAGATGTTTTACGGCGCTCGCAGCTGCATAAGGTCATATGAGCGCCAAACTGATTGAATTATGGAGCGTAGGAATAAAAGTATTCTGATGTTTACAAAATGTAAAGGAGCTTAGGATGTGGATATTATAATGTGGTGATATTGGATGGACAAGTTTAAATAAATCTTCACATGGTTTCTTTGGTATCAGTTAATTTATGTAAAGTGATACATGTATAATACTCTTTACTTTTGAACCTTTGATATGGTTAGTGTGCTTAATATTGTTGAGAGCTTGAGTTGAGAACAATATTTTCCTCTGCTACGAAATGATAAGAACTGTGATGGCTACCACACCTTATTTTATATTTTACTGTAGATGAATGATGCCGTTTCATACAAAGTGTTCCATATTTTATTTCCTGCGGAAGAGGGTAATTTAGAAATTGCTCCTTGTCAGCAGGGCTTTTTTCCCCCCCTCTCTTGTTTTTGTCTCTTCCCCCTGTAAACATGGTTAAGATATTACAAGTTTTGATACAACCTTTGGCATTTTCTGACAGGCAAATGCCGATCTTCTGGACACATTTCTCAAAGTAGTCAAGCTGGTAGCCCAGGGCAAAGGTCTGCCAGATGAGTCTCTGTCGTCCTTAGCACCAGCATCACTGAAGCAAGTGGAGCGTCCTGTTACATCTCTCTCAGTTATGTCTCCATCAGAATATCCGATGTCATTCCCAAAGAGCCTGACAAAACTCATGGTAAGCTTGTGCTGAGTAAGTTCTGCCAGCATACAGTGCTAAAACTCTCACATTTAATCAAGGAGAGGGAGATGGTGTATTTGGACAAATGTAATGCTGTTCAAATTTGAAGTCACAGGAAGCTTAACTCACTTGCTACAATGCCTGGTATTCGTCGAACATTGAGCTTTAAAGTGCCAGGCAGCGAATGAGTTAAAGAAGAACGAAGCTTAATTTTTACATATGGCACATTTCTAACTGATTGCAGACTTTAAATTTCTATGTGGCACATTTGTAGCAATGAGCCTCATGTCGCATTCTAACAATATGTATCACAATGAGTTGCTTGATACAGATCTGTTCTAGCCCTACTACAAGTGGATGTAGACAGTATAGGTTTATCTGCATTAGTTCCAAAGTTATAGTCACGTGAAGTTAGGCAGTGACAATTACACAGTGTTGAGAAATGGAGTTTTTGTCAGATTTTGAAGCAGATGACGTGCAACGAGTTATTCGTTTTGCTGCATTGCTGTACCTATAGTACAGAAAGGTGTAGGTGGGCAGATAATTAGTTTGCCATATTTCTTATGTTCAGCTTTTTTGTGTGTGTGTATTTGTTACTCAACATATTCTTTTTCTGTCCTTGATCAGGCACTTTTAGTTAATACAATACTCCAATTGAATGGCTGGCCTTTGACCATACGGATGGTTTGTAATTTGAAAGTTGTATATTTTCAGTTTCAGGAATCCATGCTTTTTTCTTGTTGAATCTAATACATAGAACAAGATTTGTGACTGAAGGATTGTGGTATCTGCTAAGAATATTTTGTTTATCCTGTAAAATGATTACATGATCATACTGTGTTCATGTTTCAAAGGACAGAACCTTGCCCTAGCTGTTTTAGTAAAGGAAAAGTGATATTTTGTTCGCATCTTTTGAAAATTTAAGCATGATGGAACGATACACTGAATTCACATCTCAAGATCTCATTATGTTAATTATGTTGATGTAGTTTCTTTTAGCATTCAAGTCTGTTGGGTTATTCTCTATCCACAGATCTGTAATTGCAGGTTAAGACGAGTCAGTCCACATGTCCTTTCTCTGAATCTCTTGACCACCCTGGACCTCAGTTTCAACAGTCTGTCGAGCCTGCCCGAGCAGATGTCTCAGCTGAAGAGCCTCACCAGTCTCTCGTTGGCTCACAATGAATTTGTCACGTTCCCAATTGTCCTTTGCAAAACGGATGTAAGGCGAACTCTGCTGGTACTGGACATGAAACACAATGAAATGCACAGTGTTCCTTCTTGCATTAAAGAGGTAATGGTCACTTACTCAATATGACATACTTTAAAATCTAAGGGTGCTGTATGTCTTGCTACGAAATTGCTTGAACACATTACACCCTAAGGGCCAGGACGTGAAGTCCATTGTTAGATCCTAAGCATGGGGAAGGAACCCACCTCCCGTGAATACAAGCCTCTAAAAAACACATTAAAAAAATACTAAACAAATTCCAAAAATCCTGAAAAAATAATAGTTAAAACGAAAAATGAATGTAGTTTCAGAAAAAATACAACTTTATGTGTGCGCAAACTGATGGAAATGTTCTAACTTTAGTTCAGTCTTGATGTCCGACCCGTCACTCTCACTCTCATCCTTGCGGTCGGGCCCAAGATCTAAATTCTAGATTTTCAACGTCTGATCAATCTGAATCACCCCAAACACTTGCTACAACGTTTTCATCAAAATGAGAGTCGTCTGATTTGTCATATACTTGTTTTTGCTCAAATCCATCGTTATTTCCTTTTTCGAACTCAATTGTATCGCTTTTCAACAAGTCGAGACACTTTCGAAGTGTCGGTAACGCAATTGCACTTTGTTCAGCTCTAATACTAAAACTACTGGCCCGAAAAATTTTGTTTTGGTATCAAACGAAAGAAGAAACTTTATCCAATAACTTACAAATCAAAATCTTGGCCCCAGAGTCTCGTCAAGGTGAGAATTCGTTTTTAAAGACGCTCGGTCGGCACGGGCGAGTCAGGGTGGAGCGTGCAAGGGAATTCCTGGGCGGTTGCGGGCGAGTTAGGGTGTAATGTGTTAAACACAGTTAAATATCAGCAGTTTGTTTTGCTCTTATCTCCTTTTGAGTTCAGACCTAAATCTTGATACTGGTAGTGTGAGACTACAGCAATTATTCCTTGTAGATGATGAATAAAGCCAACAGAATAGCACTCAGTAAACATGGATCTACTATGTGGAAGGCTATACTGCATAAGTGAAATCACGTAGTGGGATCAGGCTCTCGTCAGTTTTTACACATATAAAGTTATCTTAAATTCTGTTCATTTGCACTTCTTTTGATGAAATAAAATACCAATTTTATCTTGAATAGAAGTTGATCTATTTGTGAGTGAATAAGGTGGGGGTTGCCTGGTGTCAGAAGTAAAACAAGCGAGAAAATGGCTGCCAAAGTTTGGTGACTTCTAAAGTTATAGTATCCTTGGACAATGCAAATTTACTTTTTTTTGTGCCTGTGCTCAACTTTTTTTCAGTAAAATCCACGCCTAAATGGTTTTTAAAAGGACATAAAAAGTGTTGAGCCCCAACCCCCACCCCCCACCCCCCAAAAAAAAACCAATAAAAATTACCCAGTTCTATGATTGTATTATTTTGATGAGCACCCAATTTCACCAAGATGCCACACATATAGTTGTGTACAAGTGCATAGGCACATGCCAATACATGTTCCTGTATGCATGTGCAGGAGGGCTTTCTGCAAAGTATTGTGAATATTGTCACTGAAAAAACAATTCTGTATGTGAGGCAACGTGGTGAAACAAGACACTCATCAAAATAATGAAATCGAAGAAATCATAATTTCCCGCCCGATTGGCAATTCTTACAGATTTTTGTTTTGTTTAAGACTCAATGCTTTTATGTCCACTTTAAAGCACTGGAAAATAGAACATTTTAAAGGCGATCATCCTGGTGATCTGTTGTCAATCCTGATTTTTCCCCACTGATTTTTAGATTTCATAATCTTTACAACCTACTTTATTACCCCAGCAGATCCCAGAACACTCAAAGACATTTTGGCTTCTTGGAAAGCACACAGTGAAAGCAGTGAATTAAGTGCATTCAAAAACTAACAAACTGGCAAGATCTTAGACTGTCTGTAACAGTTATTTATGTTGTGTCATAGTATTTCTCTTCAACATTTGTGAAAATCACTTATTTTCTATCCCCAGTGTGAAAAGTTGCAGTCACTGGTCCTATCGTCGAATAAGCTGCATTCTCTGCCACAGTGTCTGGGTCACATGAAGTCATTAACGTCTGTGTCTGCCTCAGACAACAAGCTGCAATATCTACCAGGATCTATGCTGAGGAAGACCTGGGAACTAGCAGACTTCAGCAATAATCCCTTTAACCTCAGCATTGACAATTCAACACAAGCTGCTTCATTTGCAGTTCCTTCTCTGGCAGAATGGAGTGCCCGCTCAGTGGTAAACCATGAGTAAGTTCATCCTTTAATTTCTTGCTTGTTGCAAATATCATGTTCATACTGTTGAATTTGATTATATGGCATCTTTAGAACACAGTGTAGTAAAACACGGATACAAATAAAGGAGGATGCCCTGTTTTTTTAAATTTTTATTACAATCAGTAAAATAACTATTAACTGGCATTAAGCGAACAGGTAAATGAGCAAACTCTGACTCAATGAAGTCACTTATAGGCCGAACAGCACTGCTGATGTGGTGGCTTCATGCATTTACTTTTGTTTTTGCAATGAACTTTTTCTATTCTTTCAAGGGGCCTTCAATTACCTTGCACTATGGAGCATATCGAGCTTGGGCTATTGAATACAACACACTTTACCTTTTAATTAGAGGCTTCCATTCACACCAACACTTAGACAGAGGTGCAACATTTTCAGATTTATCTGAAAATCTTGTTTACGGAAATATATCTGAATTTTGCCAGACCTCAGGCCAGTTGTTGAGAAGTTTTTGTTCTTTATGTTATATACGAGGTGGAGTCGAAATGCAATGCAAGTTGTTCGCAATTTTGCACAATTTTGAACCTAATTTTATACATTCTTGAACCCAAATTGTAAGAATTACATATTTTTCTATGTTTTGTGTGAATGAAGTCGAAGTTACATCAAAATGGCTGCCCCTTTGAGGTCCTTCTGCCTTCAGAAGAGAAAAGCTGCGACTGAATTTCTTGTTCTAGAAGGAGAGGCCACCATTAACATCCGTAAGAGACTTCAGAATGTTTACAAGGACCAAGCTCTAGATTTCAACGCTGAAGATAGGGCCTAAGTGGATTAGACGTTTGAGTAATGGACAGGAAGAAAAGGAAAAGGTGTTGTCCATGTGCCTGTCAAACAAGCATCGACCTTCAAGCTGTGTGAACTACGAAGCATAGTCAGAAAAATTTATATGGGCTGACAGGTGAATTTCACTTGTTGAAGTAGTGGTAGAACTAGAACAAGAGGTTAGTCACACGAGTGCTCATAACCTTGGTTGATGTACTTGGGTTTTCTGAAGTCTGTGCCTGTTGGGTAGCACGGCAATGGTGAGAAATAGAAATCATCTGATCATCAGATGCTCCCCTTCAATTTGAGGTATGATAGTTGCTAAAGCTTTCTTTTTGCTTCAAGTTATAAATGAGCTTTCATTATATTTTGACTTCCCCTCGTGAAAACAGTACATTGGAATCCTGTTATAACGAGAGAGAGGGGACTGGTGCAAAATGTTTGTTATAGCAGGATTCTCGCTATAAGGGATCCCCAGTAATAAATTCAAGGGAAACTGTAAAGTAGGCCTAATCTATGATTTGGTGTTCTGTTTATTTCTTTTCGCTATCTCCACTGATGATGATTTTGTTTCAACGTGACCTCTTGGTATTACTTGATCAAAAATCGAATCAAGGTTGTTGACAGACAGCTCGGCGTTGGCGATCAGAAAGAAAGGGCTCTGGGCTACTCACCCACTGTATTTTCCCCCACCCCATCACACCCTGTGGTGCATTCCGTCTGCTTGCGCATGCATCCCCGCATCGGAGAAGTGAGAGGCATGGTAGGCCTTGATAATCTAAATTAGGCTTACGCTGGCCTATCATGTGATGTGTTCTGCTTGTCTGCGCATGCCACACCCTCCCTACTCAGTCGCTCCGCCTTTCTCTGTTGGCACACGTGGGCTCTCCCATTCTTTGTTTCGCTAGATCACCAACAAGTTTCTCAACTGACGAGGTTTTACATTATGTATAATTGTCCTATGCACTGTGCACAGCAGCAGCAATATTCCGCTGTAACTGACTCGCATGTTTGTCTGATTGCGCTATAGCAGTATTTTATTTACAAAGGTAAAGAAGAGGGAAAAAAATGGGTTCTAGGATAGTGTCTTTATAACAGACTTCTCGTTATTTCCGGACTTGTTATAAGTGGACTTCACTGTATTGATATGAAATGAACTAGACAAAATGATCTGTAACTTTGAGTCCCCCCTTGCGCGTTTCCACAGGTTCCGAAAAGTTATCCAGTTTTGTTTTTTTTTGTTTTTTTTAAAACCCTAAGGGCACCTTGGATTATAACTTAGGGAGATGTTCCCAGCAGAATTTTAAATTTTATAAAGGCCATTGGCCTTTATGGCGAGATGTAAAGTGAATCTGATATTATTAAAAATTTTTATTGTTACTTAAAAGTTGTTTTAGATCACAAATGTATTTACACCGAATTTGAATATTTTAACTTTTTAGCATTTTAAAGTAAATTAGTTACCAGCCGTGAAGTGAACTTTCGCAGAGGCGAACAACTTGTGTTTCGCGCGCTCATATGACCTTAGCAGTTGCGAGCGCCGTAAAACCTTATACTACTACTACTTAGGGAGAAACCTGTTTTTTATGCTTACATTCTGTTAAAACTTGGTGAATGAATTGCATGCTTTTTTACTGTTTCAGAGTGCAGTTCACGAAGGAAGATCTTGACTTGCACTCCATTCAGTATGTTCAGGGGGCCCACTTCTGCGTGTGCGGATCAGCATGTTTTGAGACGAGTGTGAGGGCGACAAAGAAACGCCCACTTTGGGCAACTTCTGCCTATCAGGGTGATGTCCCATTACAAATGCATTTCTGTTCTCTGCGCTGTCTGAAATTGTTTAATTCTTCAAAAAGATGACACATTGTAGGATCCTGCATGAAGAAGAAATGTCTGTGAGTGTAATTTATATTTGCTTTTATTTATAATAAAATTCATTGCAATTTGAACAGCTCGATTTGATGCTTCATTTCCTTTCCTGTGTCATGATTTTTTGTTTGTTTTGTTTTGAAAATTGCTTTTTTAAATAAAAAATTGGGACAGATATAGCATCAGGTGAAATTCTTTTTATAGTCCAATGTTTTAGGTTATAAGCCATTAGAGGGGGCTCTTGTGGTCTAGAGGTTACGGTGTTTGCCTTTCATTCAATAGGTTCGAAACATGACAGTGGCGAACAATTTTTTTCTCTAAAATTTTCTGCGCTTCCTTTCATGCTCTTTAACTCACTGACTACTGGCCCCTTTCACAAATCACTAGCGTTGAGCACTGGCATATTTGGGGGTATTTCAAAACACCACCACAACTCTCAGAATTACCCTATTGTAATTATTTTTTGACACAGTAAAGTTACTTTCAAACTTTAATCTATTGAAAAAATGTAAGTTCTCTAGGCCTAATACTTTATATTTAATTCTTATGATTGTTTCAAAATTGGAATGAATTTGATTTTTAGAAAAATTTCTAGAGACATGACAGAGAATGAAATTCACAACATCAACAAAAATAAAAGTTCAAAGTGTTCTGTTTTGATTTGTATCCATGTGTGAGTGTTTGGTGAAAATATAAAAGCTGGTCTGTGCGTTTTTTCAGACCCATCCATTGAATTACATGAGACAGATGTAGGGAACGAAGTTGTGATTTCGTCGCGCGAACAACAACAGTACTAGTGCTAGATCTAGCCCTAAAACTACGACTCGGGCCGTGTTCGGGTACATATCCAGGGTCCTAACTATCAGACACATCATATCCTGAGTCACTAGAACTTTTGTTGTCTGCTTTTGTCTCCACTTTCTGCCCCCCGCCCCCTCCTCTGGGCTGTTGACTCTTTCTGCAGCCTGTCTACTGCTTCTCCTTAGCTCCTTCTTACTGCTATCTTTCAACCGCACCCCTGTTCTTACGGTATGATCGAACGCCTAGCCTTCACGGATAAAGGCGAAAAATATCTGAGGTGCAGTGTGCAAGTTGAGCACGTTAAAGATCCCTTGGTGGTCAAAAAACGATTAGAGTAGGGCTTTTTGGGGGCAGATTCAAAATAAATTCCTACCAAAACTAAAAATGTGTTGCGTCAAGGTGAAATCAGTCGCTCGTCAAAATAATGAAATTGAAGAAACTGGCATTTTTCTGTCTGTATGACAGTTTTTATCAAATTTTTGTTTTTTGATTCAACATTTTTAAGGTCCATTTATAAATAGATTTCTGTGTGTATTTTACTGAAAAACATTGATTTAAGGCAGAAATATGTAAATTTGCAGTTTCAAAGGACTCTCAAGCTTTGGAAGTCGCCTAACTTTGGCCGCCATTTACTCGCCAATTTTACCTCTGAAACCAGGTGGACCCCCCCCCCCACCTCCTTCTATCAAAATACCTCGGCTTCTATTCGTGATAAGTATTTTTTTTTCTCAGAAAGCAAGACAAATGAACTAGCTTTAAAATGATAGGGCCTACCAATAACTCCACATGTCAAAAAATTGATGAGCGCCTGATTCCACCATGTTGTGACACAAATGTTTTAATGTGCCCCACATGCTCAGATGACCTTATGTAGTTGCAAGCACTATAAAACACTTACGAAAACAAAGAATAAGCCATTTGACAGTAGAGCAGGCCAGCTGGGTTTAAACCAACACAGGTGGCCTGTCTCTGAATATGCCTGCCTGCAACATGGAATTTTTTTCAGCTATCCACTGTTGTTAAAGTTGTGATGACTGTTTTTATAATTGCATGCAGTTCAATAAGGTTTCACGAGTAAGAAAAGCTAACGCAATGAGAGAAGCTTGCAAGCTGCGTGTATCCACAAGTGGAACTGAAGCTTTCAAATGCTCAAAATGAGGTAAACACTTCACTGCCATCATTTGTCTCATTGGCCATAGCAGAGACCACAAGAATCATCTCAATCCTTATTTCTTCTATTTCTCTTTTAGAAATATTCTCCTCCAAAGCTGTAGATACACTGGTCATCTTTCTAAAGACATTGACGGACAAACTTTTATTATTATCATCCAGTGCAAGACTGGACAGGCTGCACCGGCAAGGGCAACACACAATAAGACACCTTTTCCTGGGTTTTATTCATTACATCAAAAGTCATCCTGAAAAATGATAAAAATAAGCTGTTATACATTATGTACATGTTCTATGAACACCATTCGAACAGGGTTTTTAAAGGGGATACAAAGTAAATTTCAGACTGTTTTGGGACATCAGCCTTTTCTTTCAGTTGAGGGGTTTTGCCTTTGGTAAAGAGAGTTTGGAAGAAAAGAAATGCAGGAATTTTTTACTATTCCATTTCACCTCTAACCAGGAATGCAACGATTCTTTGCACATCATTTCCCTGATCACGTCCAAACATTTGAAGTACCGCTACTGCATAAAGTACAGTACTTAATTGTAGGTCCTACATGAAAGACAAAGCGGGGAAAGGATGCACCTGTAGCAATACAGCTAATTTTGTTTGACATAAAACCATTTTCTGTTTTCTTTCTTTCTTTATTCTATGCATTGCAACTTTCCTAATAAAATATTATTTTAAAAAAAAGAATCCCAGCACTTCTGGTCGGTTAACAGTAACACCAAAAATTTTTAGGTGGTTCCATCCTTCTTCCTGACTGACTCCCCTCTTTTCTTTTCTTTCTTTTTTGTTTCTCGCTCATTCATAGACCCCACTTATGTCACTGCATGCTGCACAAGACACATTCAATGGGCTTAAATCACTCCATCTTGTCTTTCCCACTTCCCCATTGTATTTGTTTTTGTTCCGACTAGTTTTTTTGTACTGAGTAGTAGTAACATATGGAAAATCATCTAGTAAACAGCTGCATCCTTCCTTGAACCTCATTCTGTGCAGTCTAAGCATCAGCCTGAGGCTGGAATAAAGTTTCCCTTAATTAAAAAAACAATTTTAAGCTTGGCAACTTCTCATCGACTACTAAAAATAAGTTATGATGATATAACCTTGTAAGGCCTTTTTTGTTCTTTTCATTAGCACTCTGGTTTGCAAAAGTCTACTTAATGTGAAGAAATCCTCTGGTCCTGTGAAGTTTGTGTTATTATGAAATTACTGTACTGTGTTTCTTTGTCCAACTTCTAAGCCAGAAGGATATGCTTTTCAAGCATTTACACCTTTCAGTTTTCCTCCTGGACAGTTTTCATCACTGTTTATCTTTAAATTAATAATTGTGTTTTTGTTGTAACTAGATTGTATAACAATATAATTACGTCTATTTTCCCTTAAAGTAGATAACTTGAGGTATGCCGTTCTTCTGTAACACGAAAATTTCTTTTATTCTGTCAGTCCATAATGCTGTGGGTATCCGCCTGTTAAGTCTATAATTTCAAAAAACTTTTTCTTTCTTTTCGTTTTTTCAGTATCTTAGCACAGATCGTGTTCTATGTCTTTAATGTTCAGACAACGTGAAAGTCCTGAATTTTTCTCTGTATTTTACTTTGATATGATACAACAGTGAAACGAATTGTCCCTGATACATTTTTGCAAGTCTTTTACCTTTGAAAGCAACATCCACTAATTTCAGTTGACAACAGGTCTCTTTCGAGTCTCAAGATGTGACAAAGTGATAGTCATTTGTTCTGTTCACGCGCGCAAGAGGGAATTAAGCTAGTGAGATATGAGAATCTGTAATGCATTAATTGGTTATGTCCCCTCATTCAGATTCCAATGGCGCTCGCTGCTTTAAGTTTAAGCGCGAATCCGGGGATGACGAGGCTTTTCCTTTTGGAAGTGTTTACGTTCTCTAACGTTAACAAGTGCTTCCAATTTTCCGCCATTTTTTAAAAGTTTCCTCCAGACCTCATCTGCCGATCCGATGCCCGCCGCCTCATTGATACCCCCCCCCCCCCCCCCCCCCCATCCCTATGTTTCCGACTTTCTCACTTTCTGTGTCGTAGAAGTAGTAAACTAGATGTCAACATCTTGATCTATGTTGTTGCCTTTCCTAAAACAGTGCTGTATATTAAGCTTAGTCTACCTCTGGTCGTTGGATGTTCTGATAGCCGAATGGTCAGCGTGACTGCCCTTGAAGTCAAGTGTATGAATGTGGGTTCGTATCCCGGTCCAGAAGTTTTTTGTGTTTTTTTCTTTTTCCTCTCCTCCCGACTGACCAACAATTTTCCCCTTAATTATAATACTTTGTTGCTTTGTAATTTTTTATGCAGTGATGCAGCATGCAAATTTTGGTTTTGTCCCCATGAGGAGCTTTAATCTACTAAGTCTAAGTATAATTTGTATAGGCAAGGAGATTAAAAGTTAGCTCCTTGAGTATATGCGCTACTTTTCCTTTTACCAATTTATGCCCTGTCAAAGTACATTTTCAACAGTGGCTTTCCTTGGTCTGTGACTGTGAGTACAATTTTTAAAAAAATTATTTTAGAATCAGAGAGGCCAAATCTTACTTAGCTCTTCTATTGCAAATTTTCTTTATCCAGGGCCCTCCTGCGGACCCCAGACCCCTGCCAATTGTTCCTCCTGCCAATTATTATTCGTCCTGATTGGGGGTCCGGGGGCAAATTGTTGGTCAGTAAGGAGAAGGAGAGAAACCCCCCCCCCCTCAAGTGTTTCCGGGACCAGGATTCGATGCCACGCTTGGAGGCACTGAGCATTAGAGAACGTAGACAGCTTGTATACGTCCTCTAACGTTAGAGAACGTAGACACTACCTTTCCTTTTTTTTCTCCAAATAAAAAATTAGAATCGTTGCACTCATGTTTCATGGAGAAAACTGGTTTACAAAATAAGTGTCAGTAGTTCGAATTGTCCAAATGGATTCAATTCTTTCCCCTTTACGTGCCCTTACTACTACATACTACATGTACATGTGCGTAGTTGTGCATCTTGATTAGTTTCCCATTCAACCCCCCCCCCCCTCATTCATTCTCCATTCTTCCCTATCTTATCTTCTATCTCCCTTTTCGGCGCTCTGCTCAGCTAGTATAATTCTGA